AAACTTAATCAACATTAAGTTTAGGCCAACATCTATTTTATGTCTACCTTTCATCTGCACATACAAAAGCCTAGCAAAGGCTAAGCTCATGCCTCCTGGTGGAGGCCAAGGCACTGAGTCAAACATGATGGGGATAATGGGCTTCTTCAGCAGGTCTGCTAGGCTCACTTCCCGATTACATGATTCAGAAACGATGTACTTTGGTGTAATGCAGCATAACACTACCTGCAGTAGATAATCAACACAAATCTTGTTAAATTTCATTTTCTTAAACACTTGGATTCATTACTGAATTAAATTCTCATCAGTTAGTAATACCACCACTGCCAACTGATGATGCTGATAACCATAGAGAGGGAAGTAAATATACTGTAGGAAGATTATTGAAAGTTTATTTAAATATAATTTTTAGATGGAGCTTAAAAACATCTACAGGAAGACGACAGTGAACAAAATATTACAAGATTAAAATTGCACCAGATCAGATGTTTAATAGTACTGTAATAGTAACTTTTTTTTTAGTTAACAGAAAAATGCATTTAAATAGTAATCTGTTGTACTGTTGTGCATTAACAAGTTGCATTCTATGAATCAACTAGGGCACAAAGAATTTAATTTATTGTTCATTATCTAAGAAAAAGAAATAGTTTAAATTGGAATTATAAAGTTACACCTACATCTTCAGGGGCAGATCCAGAGATGTCCGAAAGGGGGCCAAAGTGGGGCCGATCAAGAAAACATCACCCTAGGATGCTTTTTATATAAGCCTGAAAATAACCTCTAAGGCATTTTAGGTGATCAAATTTTCTTTTTCCTTCTTCTTCTTCTTCTTTTTTTAACTTTCCAAAAGGGAGCCCCTGAACTTTACCCTGTTTTTAATATCTAGAAAATAATAATTGTTTTATTATTCTGTCACCTTTGCACTCCTCATGCCTTCATCAATCTTAGCATACAAACTGTCACCACCTCCCATCTGACCAATGTCCATCCAGCAGTTGAAGCCTGCCCTCTCTATCCTGTCTCGTAGCTGCTTTACAGAATCCTGAATTCCCCAGTTGTAGCTGATGAAAACTGATGGTGGGGGTGCACTTGATCCTAAGATGACAATGAGTACAATGAAAAAAATTTATGACTTATCAACATGCTATGAACTCATTTATACTAGGTAAAGAGAGATTAAGGGACATTGTCTTGCCAATTAAGACATAGACAATGAGACGAGTATCAAGACAGGCGGCAGAGTTCTGAAGAAGTTGAAGATGCCTTTAATTACCAAAGACAAACCAATTATTCTTAAGATAATCAATACATAACAATAATTTTTGTACTGATAAGTGTTGAGGGATTACTTTTACACTCTACCACAGTGTGACCAAAAATGAAAATTTAAACATTCCCATCACCAAACCTTGAGCCTTGTGGATGACTTCTATAACATCGTCTCTGTGCATTTGTTCCAAGTACGAGAGCATCATGTCCACTGACAAGCCGGTGTTTCCACTGCTGTAGATCCAATCTAAGATCAACTCCTGGGCTGGGTTCACCTCATCTGCAAAGCATTCTACTTTGGCTCGCTTGTAGCCTACAATACAAAAAATATTTTACTTTTGGTTACATAATCTGAAGATAGTGAGTTGGTAAAGGATAACACATTTGGTGAAATGTATGATGATATAAGATAAACAGTGTTACTGATAATGATTGGATTCATTCAGTAGGTTAAAGCTGAATGTCTGTAAATCCTACAGGAAACAACAAAGAGTAAAGCAAGCCACTTTATACGACTTACTAATACCAGATTTGGTAATATCTGGCTTTTCTTAAGTAACATCTATTGTTCGGTCAATAGGAAGGTCTAATAAATTGTGTCAGGTGATTGAGATGAAATGAATGTACAAGAAATTATTCATCATACAACATAAAATAAAAATAACGAAAGACAGTATAAGACAAAATTAAAGCTATGTAGTTTTTACCAAGCTTAATGGCGAGTGCTTGCCAGTCACTTCCAGAGGGTCCAGCATTCAGCAGTTTAGCGGCTGCCTTGATCCAGTCAGGTAGCTTCTCCTCCTTGTCCTTCTCGTTTGTTATTGGTGCCCTGGCAGGTATAGACACTTAAAATGCAAAATTAATAAAACTGATACATTAACAAGAACATGCTTGTATAGGTTCTGTATCTCTGATTACCAAACTTATTTTTTAAAATGGTTGAAAATGTCAGTTTTCTACATGTTCTCCACATGTTATTAATTTTTCTATATGTAATTGGCCTAACTTGTCCACCCTGTTATTTACTTGCATAACCCTCATTCGTATTTAGATTACCCACGTGACATTTATTTTTTGATGGTATGAACCAGAGAAACTGTTTACAATATTTACTCAAAAGAATATTTTTCAACTTGTATTAGTCCAGTGGAACGAATTGCTGAAAAAAATAAAACTTACAAGGAGATGGATGCTCAGCAGGAAACCACTTCTTGTACTTGGTTGTCTTGATACGTCGGTGGTCACATATCACGATGTTCATTGCCAGGCATTCATCAAGACTCAGAAAGTGCCTGCAGGAGTCTTCCTTACATCCTGGCTTGCCGTGTGACTCGCATGTCTTGTTGCAAGGACAGGCGATGGAGAAGGCAAAGTTGATTCGCTTCATCCAGAGTTGTCGCAAGTCGCAGAGGGTGAACTCTAGGAAGTGGCGCACCTTGGAGCAAGCTACTTGCCGTCGCTCCTGGGTCTTCAGAGCTACTGCTGTGGATTCTGCAGCATCGGTGGTGTCATCACTGTCATCAAAGATCTCAACTTCTGCTACAATTACCTACATAGACAAATTTTAATACTATTTCACAACTCATTCTTGTGACGAGACTTTAATCATAATAATAAAATTCAGACTCTTTACGATTTTTGTAAGTGTCAGGGACATGGATTCTTTCCTTAATATTAAGTGGGAATATACATATCGTTTGTCAGGACGAAAAAAAAAAAGAATAAAAATAATTTTAAGAAAATGTAGAAGGAAGGCTGTGTTTACCTTTATACAGGCATATCTGAAGGGCGCCATCTGGAGGATGACATCGTGCTCATCATCAACATAGAAGCGTGCTTGCCTGAAGTAGAGCTTTGGTTCACGACCACCTTGCTCTTGTGACCAGCGTACAGCACGTGTCAGAATGCGCTGGAAAAGTCCATCTAAAATTCAGCAAAAAAAAAACGCAATTATAAATCGTAACATTCTTGAAAAAGCAGGATGTTATGTATTTGCCACGAAAAGTACAAAGTTATATGCAAGCATACTAGGTTCTTTTACAACTTTATTGAACCCTGAAACTCAACAAATTAACACAGTGTTTAGTATAACAATGTGCTCGCCATGTAACCCGAGCAGCAAGAGCACAACGAATGTGACACAGCACGTCTGCCGATACGATACTCTGTAGTGCAGTACACTGCACTCTCCCTCAACTAACTTTGAACTACAAATTCAAACGGTCTGGGGCCTTAACTATTCGGGAGGAACTCCACAATGGGGGTTTCTCAGTTGGGTAGAACTATTTGACCTTTTTCAACCGGTTCACACACTCCGGGGTTTTCGACCACCCTTGGGGTTTCGGAGAGTGTGGAACTTTGCGTTGGCAAAGGCTCAGGGTGTGTTACCACAGGTGGATCCTGCTGCTTTTCATGAACTTCTCTTGGGGTATACCCACCGTGTACATCAGGGACAGGAACATTAGCCAACAGATGGTCAGCATGACAATAGCGTATTGATCCCCCAACACGCACCAAATATGAGACCCAACCTCTTAATTACATATCCCTTTACGTACTTAATTAATTATTAATTATTGTTTTTAACTCCAACATGTTGACCCACGTCAAATTCTCTCAAGTGCTCTACCTTACTGGCAGTGACCACTTGTTTCTTATGGCTCGAAGCCTTAGGGTTTAATAAGGTAAACCTTATTCTGGGAACATGCCTAAACAACATATTATAAGGTGATTGGCCTGTCACAGTTTGAGGTGACATAAAAAGAAAATACAGGAAGATAGCAGAAATGTACTTTATAGAAAATGTAGTACTTATGGTAGCACACTAATATAGTTCTGAAGTGCCTCTTAAAAAGTCTATGCCACTTATAACATGGTAATTGATGTACCTGGTAAGAAGCCTCCGAAGGTGATGTAGAACACGATGTCCTTCTTTGAGGGCACATAGACATCATTGGGGTGCACCGCATCCTTGAGCCGTGAAGGGACGAAGTAGCTCTTCTCCCACTTGTCACTTGGCTTCAGTGTCTGTGAAGGAAACATTGAAAAGGACCAAATAGATTAAAGAAAAACAATCCCCTTGGGCATCGGAATTTGGTACAAAGTTACAACAGACCTATGCATGAAAGGTTGTCTACAAAATTTAACTTAAATTTTACATTTTACATTGCTCCATGAACATCATCAAATCATTACATCATCTTCTCACAGCTTCAAGATTATACCTTTGGCTTGATTCTCTCACAGAGCAGATCAAACTTGCTCATGAGTCCGATGAGGGCAGGTTTCTGAGCAATGATGGTGCACCACATGTGGTTAATTAGGGAATCCTCCAAGATACCCTCTTTGTCAAGCCGCCGCCATGCTTCAGCAAACTTCTCCCACTGAAATGATAAAATCATTTTATGGAAATATCTCAAATATGGAACAGAATTCTCAGCTTTGTTAATTACTTTTTATCTTGGAATTACATTTGTACTTCTGTGTGGTTGCTTAATTAAGTATGTTGCATATTAAGTTTGTTGCTTTGATAATTATGATTCTAGTAACCAGAAAATGAGTAGCTTAAAGCATACCACAAGCAAGATACTGCACTAATTTCCTCACCTGGCCATCAATATCCTTTGTTGTAATGACTCTCTTGAAGACATCAATCAACCACTGGGGTTGCAGGATGATTGTATTACGTAGTGACTCATCAACGGCTCCAGTCTGCCCATAGTAGATGATAACGCCGAGGTCATGGTAGAAATGCAACATGGAGTCCAAGTCTTCCTGTATGCTGAACTGTGAGCAAATGTCTTTACCCTGAACACAATGAGAATCAAAGCAAGAAAGTTATTTTCAAATAAACAAAAGCTGCCACCTGCCAACACCACCTAGCAGCTGCGCAGGTCAAATTTGAATAAAAGTTATGACTTAAGCACCTTCTTACTACAATCCTCTGACTACTATTAATTATGACGTACCTGATCTAAGGATATGAAGTTAATCCCTCTCTCTACCATCTCTGCTACTTTCTGCTCAAACTGCAGCCAGGATACGGGCATGTGTTCTCCCATGTAACGCTCCTTGCTGGCAACTCTCACTATGTGGTTCCTCAATAACTTCACCTATAGAATAATTGTAACACAATCATTGACAATAGTAATACTAAATTTACTTAGATCCATGAATCAAAATTTCAAATATATTGAGGACGGATATTGATCAAGTAGGAGAAAGATGCAAAGGCACCCTCTGAAGTGTAGATATTTTAAAGGAGAATTTTTAATCACAAAATTTGATTTGTTGCTAATGAGATACCCGGACAATTGTACTGTAGTAGGAAGTTCTACTCCTCATTATCTTAATAAAAGTTGACCAACCTGCTCATCCTCTTCATCATCAATGTTGTTCTCAACTGCATAGAATTTACCAACAAAATGACCTTTGTACACCTTGTCTTGGAAACTTTCAGCGATGACACTGAATTTCTCCTCAACCTGTTTGATTATAAATTAAAATTGTTTCTATAAAGTTATTTCTTTATTGATATTAGAACAGATTGCTTGTATATTACCATAGTATAGAAAGGGAAAGCTCAGTAGTGCTTTTGGTGAGCATTAACGAACGATATCCCCATACACAGATATGGGAGGATGCCGGCTGCTGTACCCAATACTACACCACACAGACACACAGTTTGTTTATCTGTTTTCCACATGCTACAATACTTCCGTAGAGGGTGCTATAACTTTACTTCTTTTCACCATACTGTTGCAACAGGCGCACTTCCACAAGACTAGAGCACAGTGCGCATACATCCATGGTGTAACTTGGGGGAGTGAAGTATTTGCAAAATGGACTAGGCTCTCTTCCTTTTCTATACTCTTTTGATATCATCAATACTGTTGAAATACTAATGTCTGTAAAATTGCCTCAGGTAGAAGATTGATATACCACTTGAAGAAGAATCTAATCACTACAAATTATAAACATTTTATAATAAATTACAGAATTGAAGAAATCTACATACGATCTTCCACTGAATCGCCTTGTCATCACTGAGGCTACCACGATGGGTCCCCACCAAGAACACTGAGGGTGACAGGGATGTGGTGTTATCCATCTCATCGTTGCCATCTGCTGTGCTGGGCCTTGCTTCTGCCGTGTGTGCATGGATCGAGCAGGCCCAGAAATTGATGAAGTCTAGATTTGACAATTCACTCTTCATCCATTCCACCTGTAAAAGGTACACATTGCATATATAGTGTTATATCGAAAGGTCCACTGTTTAATCTCAGATAAGATAGTATAATACATACTCCAAGTATCGAAATGCACGCCATCGTGTCGGGATTAATATTTCAACATTAATTTTGTCATCACCAGGAATGAAAAATTATCCATATTTGCATACATATGTAGGCTACCCTCATTGTTTAATTCATGTTTTTCTATTGTAATGTTTATTTGTGTGTAGTGCTTCCGAATAAATTCAAATCAAATCAGTTTAACAATGAGCTTAAAGCTTCAAAGGAGCTTTCTTTGTTTTTGTAGGTAGCTTTGATCAGTAGGGTAAGAATGCTTTGATCTTAGTTTATTCATAGCTATGTCACCTACTAGAGGTAATATCTTGATTGGTTAAACACTTTTGGTACTTGTACATATAAGCTTGCAAATATGGATAATTAATGTCGAAATATTGAATCCTGACATGATGGCGTGCATTTCAATACTTGGGAGTATATATTACACTATCTTATAATGTTATATCATCATCAATTTGGAGAGCAGCTTAGCTCAGTAGGCTAATGAGTGTACGCACATTACTATGGCCCTCTCCACGGCGGATTTGTACAATGGCTTGGCTGTTCAGGTCATGTGTCAAGTTGAAGACGATGATGTAGATAGCTCTTGGTGTTAGAAACACTTGGTGAGTTGTATAGTACACGCTTTGGCCAGCAAAATCCCAGATACTCATAAATATCTCTTGGTCAGTGGTAGTTGTTTCAATCACCTCCTCCCCATCCTCAAGCTTCTTGATCATCTCGCTGACCATTGTCAGGACTCGGTCAACAAGTTCCTGGCCGACAGCTTCTTTCACCTGCTCGGTAATGTCTTTCATAAATAGTTTGGTCTTCTTTTCATTGCCTGAAACTGATTCCTCTTTCTGAAAATTAAAATACAATTGGTGGTTCATATTTCTAAACCATCTTCATTCAATCAACCAGGATTCCTCCCGGTGGCCCCAGGCAGTCCCCAGACGATGGGAGGGGACATGACGTTTTCAGGTCATCAATATTAATGAAAATACTACGGGTATAATAATGTTACACAGGAAAATATTTTGAATTCATTTATTAACAAAGTTTTTTTCAAAAATAAGTTTTATTTATCAAAAAAAAATTAATATTCATACTTTTGAAATTACTTTTAAATTAAGTTTTATTAATACAACTTTAAAACATTTAAAACATAATTTTTAAATATATCAACAAATTTCTACCCTACCTTGTCAGATGTTACTTCTTTTTTCTCGTCTTCTTCATTCTAAATAAACATACAAATGTAAACAATTCATTCAAGTCATGCCTTTCTTTTAACCACTCCATCTATACCACAAAGTTGACCCCATGACCCTTGGATTGGAAATCAAGACATTTTTTATACCTTGTTTAGCAAACCCGCTGTCTGCCAATAATGATGGTTTCAAATAAAAATAACATTTTATTTTTTTCCAATAAGCGCACCCGCCACCACGAAAAAATGGAAATTTCAGAAAACAATAAATGTTTTTCCTTATAATTATTATTATTGTTACACCTGCTGCTGCCTTGAATTTGAAATCTCCAAAAATAAGAAATGTATATTAATTCCTAATTATATTAATTTAACCGTAAACTTGTATTTATAGTGCAATATGTATTTTGTCTTCTCTTTGTACAGTATGTAATTATGCAACTGGGACAAAATTTTGTATGTATCATGTTATACAACAATAAAGTTATCTTGTATCTTTTATCTTGGCAAGCATTTAACCATCCCATTACTACACTGTTTACATTCACTAATAACATTTTATTTTTATTTCCCCCTCTGCCTCGATGTTTTTGGCAAAACTACTTGCTAAGAAAACAAGATTAAATTTTTACTTTTTTTTCCACTCTCGTCTATGAACTTTAAAACCAATGAAGAATTATGATACACTAAGCCTACTGTATATTGCACTACTACACATGTGTTTCCAAATACATGTACTGTTAAATAATTTGTTGCCAATATAATCATAACATGACCAAATCAAAATAATACCTTAAGACCACATAACACTAATACACTCATGTCTCATACAAGTACTTTTAAATACAAATAACTTATTGTTTCCAATATAATTTGAAGCCATGGATCAAATGTCTTTATAATAACAACACAAAAAAAATCAATATTGGCTTGTTATTTACAGTGTAGCTCAGACCTCCCACCAAGGACATTCAATTTCACTTCAGTCTCTCTGGAAATTACATGAAGAAGAATAAATAAAAATATGAATAATAATAATTAAATATAATTATATCAGAATATGTAAAATATAATTTAATAAATAAATTACATCAAACATAAATTTATATTTTCTCTTTGTATTTCATTTGTTATTTTTAACTTGTCAAAAGTTACTGTAAGTATATATTTTGGCATGTTAGTTATTCAAATAAAAGTATTTTATTCTTTAATATTTTTTGGTTTGATTACATTCACTGGTATAAAGCTGATGAAGCTGCTGAAACCTATAAATAAACTCTTTCCTCCCTAGTGCAATAAACCTATAGAATAAATAAAAGTACAGTAGAACCCCTATTAAGGGGACACCGTCGGGACCAAAGAAAGTGTCCCCTTAATAAGGGTGACCCCTAATAGGGGTACTCCTAATCAGGGACACTAATCAACAATGTGAAATTGTCCCCTTAATAGTGATTTTTGTATAATGATGACATAGATTCTTTATAACTTTATTTTAATTGACCTAAGAATGAGTTACAGTTTAACAATAATTTATAACAATAATTTGCAATGCAAAAAATAATTCATTTAAGATATGAAATTAACAGATAAGTAATTAAAGCTACAAAATTTGTGTATCTTTCCGATATTGTTTCTTCATAGGAGTGCAATGTTAATGACCAACATTGGATGCACAAGATAGAATACTATTGATAGATGTTACAAACTTAGAAATCAGGGTGCAGGCTTTCTGGATAGATTAGAATCCTATACCAAAATACACAAAACAAGAAATCTCCATGGTTAATGTCAAAATTGACACGATTTTATTTATATGAAGTAACACATGCACTAGGTAGCCAATGCCCATTCTGAGAATGGAAAAAATTCTGGATATGTTAAGCTTATTGCTCAAAAGGTGTCAAAATATAAATTTTTAAAAATATTTTGTGACTACTGTATTTTGAGGCCAAACATTTCACTCCAACACGTTCTTACAAAATGGCACACATGTTATTCCACTATACTTTTTTTTTTTTTATAAGAACACATTTTATAGAAACATTGAAACTGAAATTGCCAAAAAATTATGAAAAAAGTAAAGAACAAATTGAGGTTGAAGTAAAATGTCAAATGAGGTTTTATAAAAAAAAGGGGAAAAAAACACCCCCAAAAAACCAACACACCTTATCTTTACCTCAGGCGAGACTGTTTTTATTCCTTGTTTCGCATACTTATTTTTTTTTATAGATTATGGCGGGTGTGGGGGGGGGGGGAATAAAAATGAAAATAAAATTTTGTTTTCTGATTTAGCAAAAACATAAGAACACTGAGCCTGGGCAGAATTTTACTAGTTCTTATAAAAAAAATGTACCACAAACATTAGGGAAGCATTTATTCATTCTTTAACTCCAATTAATATCAAATATATTTCACTCTACCACAATTTCCCCACACAAAGGGCATATATTTAATATCTCTTCCACTTATAGGGTTGACAGGGAACACATTTGAGCTCCCTTCTTTCCAACTCATGACACCACATTTTACTGTAATTGTATACTACAGTATTGTAGATCAACCATAAAACCTCAAGCCATCTTTACAAAAAGCTAATTTTCTCTTTTCATTTGCACTAGCTCTTGTACTGTGCATCAGTGATCTATTAATAGTGGATGTACAGTTTATTGACAATGGTCTGCAAAGTAAAAAGGACACAATCTCTAAATTATAATGTCAATGCCGTTGCTATGGACACATATCCAATTAATATCTAGATTTCATAAGCTACGATCCTGTTTAAAAGACAACGCACTATTCATCTACATTGAAGCAGGAAGAAGTAAAGGATGCTCTACAATGAACTAAATTTTACGCATGTTCAGATATAATCCAAATTAGAACCTAGTGCTCTCAATGTTCGATCTTTTCTTTAGGTTTGGTTTTTAGAGTGTATTGATTATGTGTCAACTAACTCATGTCCACAGTAGGTTGCTGTCAAAAAAAATCCTTAATAAATTATAATAAATTAAAGAGCAGTCAATAAAAAGCAGCCAAAGAGGAATATGATATAAAAACTCTATTTGAATTTCATTATTAATCCATTCTAAAACACTTTGTATAAAACATTTAATCACAATGTATCATCATCGTTTTGGCAGACCATACTGAGAATTTTCCCTTTAAATAAAGAATACATTAAAACATGTAGTGATTTAATGCAGTTAAAAAAATGATGATACTATTATTATGTACATCAAAATAATGTAGCTTAATGAATGTTTGTGTATACAGTGGTTTATATTGAATAAAAAAAATCTTACATTTACTATATCATTTTTTAAATTTCCCTCTAAATAGAGATATTTAGAGACCACGTTTAGTGCTGGTCCTTAAGTAGAGGGATCCTAATTAGAAACCAAAGCAGCTAAAGACAACTAAAACCCCAGTCCCAAAAGTGGTCTTTAATTCGTGTTAACCCTTTCACTGCTGTAGGTATATGCACCCCCTGTGCTGGGACTTTTTTTAACGAAAAAAGTTAATTTTTAAAATAATTCAAAAAAAATACTAAAAGAGGTTATTTCGAAATTCTTTTTGTGTGTTGGGGCGAGCAATAGGTTGGCCTACGCGAGGAACATTGATATTTGGTAGTTTGCATAATTAGGTAGTCATGTGACCTCAAAGTCGCCATTTTGAATTTCTGTTTTTTCTCAAATTTTGATAAAAAACCCAATTTTTCCCAATGAAATTTTTATGGAATGTTTTTTTTTTAACTTTATAATGATGCAGACACACAAGGTGAATAAAACAAAAAAAAAAAAGAGTTAGTTTGATCGTTTTATTCCAAAACCGCAAATAATCAAAGTTTTTCTTCAAAATTGTGAAAATATAAAATTTTGCAGAAAATCACTGTTAGATGTACTTTTTGCCATACNNNNTGCCACCTTGACCCTGTGCAGGGCCTCCCAAGTTGAGAGAATCATCGTTTTCGTCCTTAGAATCACTGTCGTCACTATCCTAGTCGACTGGGGGAAAAGAAATGCAAGAATCATCCAATTCAAAGTTATCTTCACTATCCATATCTGCAAAGATCTGGTCCATAGCTTCGTCGACATTGTACCGTCTGTTTTGAGGCCGTGCACCCGCCATTTTGCGCCTAACCACTCGAAAACACTTTTTTCCGATAAAAGGTTAATTATAGTTCATAGAAAAAAACTATAGAGGGCGCAGAACCTCTTCCTGATTTTTAACAATATTTTTTCTACATACCCGGCTGTACCGGGTACGCGCAATTCAACAATATGTGTTTATACCCGGCATTACCGGGTACACGCAGTGAAAGGGTTAATATACATTATCACTTCAAAAATTTTACAAAATCAAACTTTTTTGACATTATTACATGGTTCATAATGACATCATCGAGAGCAAATATCATTCACAAAATCGACTATTCCTAAAACGGATGTTCATAAAAAAGACTTTTTTCTGTATGTCCTATAATGCAGCCAGGGTCTATGAGTAAAGAGATGACACATTTACCTGATTGTCAGTGGGGTGTTTGGTGGTTTGTTGCTTCACTACTCCAGTACTAGTTGATGCATCATTGGTTGCATCATTTTTCTTGTGCTGCCGTTTGCTCCATAGTTCTTGGACGATATTGTGAGCAATAGCTCTTGCAAATTCATCCTCTAGACCAGTCGAGCCATCTATTATACAAGACCACACATAAAAAAGATGCAATAAAAAAAATGATACAAAGAAAATATCACACTTATAAAAGATGATACAAATAAAGGATGATATAAATAAAAGATGATATCAATAAACAATGGTACTGTACAAATAAAAAAAAAACGATACTTATAAATAATGATACAGATAAATGATGGAAACAATTTTTTTCTAGTACTGTATAATTTAATGTTTTCTGTAAATGCTTGTTTTTGATTGTATGGCCAACAACAACAAATTATTGTGTTGGCCTTCTTTTGCAAAACTCCAAAAAATAGGTAGGTCGGTAGGAAAAGTTTTTCTTTTTTTTAAAATCAATAATGTGTTTATGCCTAAACAGTACAAAATACAAAAAAAGACCATTTTAAAAACTATATTCAAGAGCAAAACGGTTGCATAACACTGTTGCATTGCCAACCATCCAGCAAAGATAGGTCTATTCTTGCCTTTTCTCATTAAAAAAATATTTTTTGTTGTAAAAAAAATACCTAAAATGCCGAACCTCAATTTTGTACATTTGGGGTCGGTCGGGCATGGCCGACACAATAACTTTTTTTATTTGGCCTAATGCAATAATTTTTGACTTGTTATGCCTTTTTGTAATGTGAATAAATAAGTAAATTTAAAAAAAAAACAATTATTCTTTATTAACATCACAAAAATAAGTAAAAAATGAGATCAAGTAGCAATAATTTTTTAATACATTTAAATAATCATGAAATTTAATAAAAAAATAATAAACAATATTAATTTAAAATGAAATAGTCTGTGAGCCTAGGAAACATACAAGCAACAGAGCTGCGTTTCTTGGTTGCTTAGCAATACTCATTAATAATGCAACCTAACCTTCAGCAAACTTCATATTAATCAAGTGAGCCAAGTCACACTTTCTGTTTAAATAGATTTTATTACCAAAAACTCTCAAGTAATATTAATTATACAATGAGCTAAAGTATAAAATTAATTATATGAAATTAATAAGCTACATGGAAGAGAATTATAGATCTATTAAATGTTAATTACGTAGAAATTGTCAACAGAGGAAAAGTAGTTTTTCATATGTAAAATTAATGAATTGTCCGTTCACAGTGGACATTGTCCCCTTTTGAGCAATCCAATCAACTTCTCATATATGTTATGTAAACTTGTCTGTTACTGTGTATCCAAGTATTATCATAATTAAAATACTTATGCTGCTCTTATACTATTAGCTTAATGCTGTACTATACAAATACAGATACAGATAAAATTTATTGTCATATGTACATGCAAACATAAAATGAAATAGTATACAAGATAAAAAACAAAAAAAAAACAAGACAAAACAAAAAAAACAAGTCTACTGATAAAAAACATAATACGGTGCAGTAATCATACAGTACATAATGTAAACATACAATGAAATAGTATACAAGATTAAAAAAAACAGTCTACAGATATCATACAGTATATAATGCAATGACAGTTTAACAAACATCATATGTAAATACAGACCTATTCACTATCTGTCTGGGAATTGTACTAGAAATTGTCAAGTCAAGCTATTTGTTGTTTGCCTTCTTAGTAAATACACTGAAGTTTATTATCATGAAAATGTAAACAAACACCATATTGCATTATTTATACATTTATCAAATTCCATTTTCGGATCCGTGGGGATCTTCTGATCCTACGGATTCGTGGGGATCTCCTGATCCCCCGTTCCCACAACCACCCCATGGTTATGGGCCTGTTCATAGATTCAGTACTAACGACTATAAATAGATTGACTAACCTCTGGTTTCATTTTCATCTTTTGCAATCACTGTATAGACCTTCCATGGTTTAGAATCTCCAGTATTGATTATACACCAATCTGCGGTGTCTATACCATCCGTACTCACTTCCTTTGCATCATATCTGTAAGTAGAATACATTAAATACATATTGAATATTACTGTATTATCATTACTACTATCATCATTATTATTATTACTTCTATTATTATTATAAGCGTAGTAGTAATAATAATAATAATAATTATGATGATGACGATGACGATAGTGATAACAGATAGTAATATTAATAATATTAAAAGGTGAAGAAAATTGTGCTAAAGGCGAAAAAGTAAGTTGTGATTTGTTGATCACAATTATTATAGTATAGTTAAAGCTTAGTAAGCTATAGTTAGGCCTAAATTTTTTTGATTATTAAGTAGATCCCTGATAAAAGATCATGAGAAATTTAAATAAAAGTGTTATTTCCGGCTACTATTTCCTAAAATTTTCTTACCTCAGCCTCAACCGCAGTGGGGCTGAGGTGGGTGGTTGCTCAATCTGTAGAAGTCCCTCCCTGGGTCACCTCTCAATTGAATTCCTGGATCCACCACTCTTGAGTTTTATATAATTATTGTTAGGCTTACTAAAACTATTTATGATGCGTTTATTGCAATTTTCAATTTATCATCTCAGATCAGCCCTTAAAACCTGTCTCTTATACACATCTAGATGTGTATAAGAGACAGGTGCAGGGCCTCCCAAGTTGAGAGAATCATCGTTTTCGTCCTTAGAATC